ATCCATATTCTAACTGCGGCTAGATTAGCGTTTGCTCAATGTTGGAAATCACCTCATACACCTTCAGAGCAAATGGTTATTCAGAAAATTTGTGAGTGTGCTGAAATGGATTAACTAATGATAGCGTTAAAAAACAAAGAGTCCTCAACATTTTACGACAACTGGGACTCATGGTATAATTGGCTTACAGAGACAAATTATGTAAATGATATAGAGTAACTTAAACATAATGGAAAAGAGGAGCAGATTGGATATGACGAAGAGAAATGATCCTTACAGACTGTCACAAAAAGATATTGTTCGTTTTTAATTGTACTTTCTACCCTATTCTCCCTCCCCTTCCCTTCCCTTCTCTCCCTCTCTATCTTTTCCCTTTCCCCCCAACCGGCCCTTATCCGGTGCGTTAGGCCGGGTGTTTTCTTTCTTTCCCCCCAGCCGTTTTCTTTCTATTTTGTAAATGTACCGTTGATGTGTTTTTAAATTGTAAATTCAATAAAATCTATTTTTTAAAAAAGAAAAGAAAATCCCAGTCTGGTTATCAACTATTGAAGCCTTTTCTTATCCTATAATATATGAGAAGGAACAAACAGTTAGATATGGGGAAATATTGGATGAAAAGAGTGAACTTAAAACAATGCAAAAACTAGAAGAACAAGGCATAAAGATGAATTGGTTTTCATATGCGCAAATACATTCAAGGTATCTTATAGATTCTAAAGCGGAGGGATTTTATGATAAATTGACTGATTTAGATAGGATCTTGACAGGTACTGATGAAAAAGTGATTAAGAAACTATACAGTTATCTGTTGGAAATTATATTAGAGGAGGAACAAGTTAAAGAAACAATGTTTGGGGGAAGAATTTTGGATATGGGATTGATTTGGAGAAATGGGAAAAATTGTGGTCTCAAAATTATAAAATGACAGTGTCAACAGCTTATAAAGAAAACTTGTATAAGATGTTTTACAGGTGGCATTTTCCCCCCAACAAGAATTGCAAGAATGTTCAAGAACAAATCTGAAAAGTGCTGGAAATGTCATCAGATACCTGGCTCATACTACCATATGTGGTGGACTTGTGAGGATGCTAGAAAATATTGGACTAAAATTCGCATATGGTTGGAAAAAATGATAAAGATACATATAGACTTGAAACCAGAGATTTTTTTATTGGGAATCTTACCTGATACATATAATAAAAATTTGAAGTATTTGACTGTAAATGTATTAACAGCGGCTAGGATTGTATTTGCTAAAAGCTGGAAGAGTGAGAAAATTCCATCAGAGGAAGAAATTATTAAGAAAATATTGGATTGTGCTGAAATGAGTAAATTGACATTTGAAATTAGAGAACAAGAAGATAAACAATTTTATGAAGTTTGGGATCTTTTTTATCAATGGTTAGATAATAAAACATAATAATAGAACATTTAGATTTAGGATATAATTTTTTTTTTGATATTATTTTTATAAAACTTTATTAAGATAGATTTGGTATGATCTTATGATTTATTGCAAAATAAATTAAGTAAATTATAGTTATCTCGTTAAAGTATGAGTTAATAAAATTATAGATAAACGATTTCTTAGTGATGATATTGGGTTATACAATTACTGATTGATAATATGAGTTATTATGTAATATAATTATATTAGCGTTTAGGAAATGGATGCAAAAAAAAAAGTGGTAAACCAACCGATACACTGTTTGTAAATTTATGAAGAAGGATGATGTTTTTATGTTGTATGTCTTATGTTGTTTTGTTTGTTGTTAAAATAAAAAACCTTTTTAAAAAAAGATTTGAACAACTGGGAAAAATTACAATTATCACTATTAGGCTGAATAGCGGCTATAAAAATGAATATACTACCGAAAATATTATATTATTTTTAAACAATACCTATAAAATTGGACAAGAATTTTTTTCAGGAATTAGATAAGACAGTTATGAAATTTATATGGATGGGGAAAAAAGCACGAATAAAACTGAAGACGTTACAAGATAGTAGAACCAGAGGCAGACTTGGACTCCCAAAATGGGAAACACATTACCAAGCAGCAATTTTACTATGGGTTAAAGAGTGGATAAATTTAAAAAATAAAAGAATCTTGGCAATAGAAGGTCATGACCTCCAAATTGGGTGGCATGCCTTCCTATGTGATAAAAAGAATAAGATTCACTCCTATTTTCATACACATTTGATAAGGGACTCACTATTACAAACGTGGGAGAAAGTAAAGAAAAAGCATTATCTGAAAAGACCAAACTGGATTTCACCTATGGAGGCTATATTATATCCAAATATGGGGGAAAGTAAAAAAAATGATTAGATATGAAGAATTATTAGATGAATAGGGGGAATTAAAAACAGTGGAGAAATTAAAAGAACAAGGTATAATATTGGACTGGTGGGTATACTTGCAAATTCAAACCAAATTTAAGAAAGATATAAAGGAACAAGGGATAGATAAGGATCTACAAAAATTGGATCAAATTTTGACAGGCAAAGACATAAAATTTATAACATGAATGTATAATTATTTATTGGAGGTGGAACTAGAGGAAGAAATTGTCAAGGGATCAATGATCGCCTGGGCAAAAAATGTAGACCATAATATAAATTTGGATCAGTGGGAAAAGATTTGGACTGAGAACTGGAAGCTGACTTTGTTGACGGCATTTAAGGAAAAACAATACAAAATGTTTTGTAGATGGCACCTAGTGCCGGCAAGACTGGCGAAAATGTATCCAAATATGAAACTGGAATGCTGGAAGTGCAAACAAAAAAAAAGGAATGTTTTTCCATATGTGGTGGCAATGTATAGAGGTTAAAAATATTGGAAGAAGGTACAGAGATGGCTCTTGGGAGATTACAAATTATAGACTGAAATTGGAACCAGAAACGTGTCTATTAGGTATGATTAAAGGGAATTTGAGCAAAGATAAAAGGTACCTTATTGTACACATCTTAACGGCAGCAAGAATCACCTTTGCACAAAGCTGGAAGAGCAACAAAATACCACCAGATGAAGCTTTTAATTCAGAAAATAATGGACTGTGCATAGCTAGACAAATTCACTATGGAATTAAAAGGTTGATTGAGAATATTTTGCGATAAGGGATAGGTGGTATGAATGGGTGAATAAAGATAGAAATTGATGTATAGTTACAAAATGAGAAACATGTATATACAATGACACAAACACTGTTAATAGAAATTAGTTTTGTATTTTTGGGTTTAAAGAATAAAAATTATTTTTTTAAAAAAAGGATCCCACTCAGGTGGACAAACGTGGCTGGATCACACAGACCCTCCCCCCAAAGGATCGCAATTTGGGGAAAGAACCTGGCACCCCTCTCCTGGATCATACAACTCCCCAAAAGATCCCAATTCGGGGAAGAACCTGGGATCACACAGCCCCCCCCAAGGATCCCAATTTAGGAAAAAACCTGG